GCCTGACCCACAGGTGCACCCTGTTGATTCCTCTTGAGGTCAAGGGCACAGGCAGGCAGAGCTGACCTGTTCTTTAAAGCCAGGGTAGTGGTCCTCTTGTGCCCGGGTGGGGTCCTGGAGAGGAACACGCTTCTGCACGTACATTGTCCTCCAGCGAGAAAGAAGGCAGACCAGCGCACTGAGCCCCTGCCAGCATGGAGCTGATGGCGGGTGACATGGGGACACGGGTCTCAGATAATTACTGATTTGGTGAGTGGTTTGAAGGACATAGGCACCATATTGTGGGAACATGTAGTGCAGGCGTTGCTTGACATGGAGGTAATTTCATCCCTTGAGTTCCTCTTTGTTTCTGCTGAGTCCCTTGTGGGTGTGCAGTGGATCGTCCAGTGAAGAATCATTAACTGACTAAGGGTCAGTAAGTGTGGTGTGCGTTCTTTGGCAGAAGTGAGCTGTGTGTGCACGGGGCTGATGGCGAGGCCCTGAGTTAATCTGTGGTCCAGTCCCAGCCCCCACTGCCTGCTGTGTGATCTCAGGCAAATTACTTAACCTGCCTGGTCTCTGTTGGAAATTGTGAGTGTTGTGAAGCATAAATGAGTCACGTGCACGTAGGGGCTTAGTGCTGCTCCAAATTAAAAAAAGGAAACACTGCTTGTACTGTTTTCTTGATGCTGGCATGCTGCTGGTTGCAGGTGGTACTGACTGGGGTGAAAGCTTTGTGAGGAGGAGGTGCTGCGGGCGTGGGGGAGGCGCATCTCTCCTGCAGTGATGATGTGACGTCGGCTCTCCATTTCCTGGGCTCCTGGAGGTGAAGGCAGGTCTCTGGTCAGGGACCCACTGCCTCCGTCCTCCAGGAGAGCCTGCAGCAGACGGCCGAATCAGAGGTAAACCATGGGTTCAAATTAAGGAGTAACGTTAGCTTTCTGGGGCCGCCCGTGGCCTGGTGGTTGAGCTTGGCGCACTCTACTTCAGTGGCCTGGGTTCAGTTCCCACATGTGGACCTGCACCGCCGGTCAGTGGCCATGCTGTGGTGGTGACCCACATCCAAAAACAGTAGAGAAGGGAAGATTGGCAACAGATGTTAGCTCAGGGCGAGTCTTCCTCAGCAAAAAAAGAGTGATAGTAGCTTTCTGTTTTTATAATAGATGTTTCTCTTCTTAGGAAAAGAAGGTTTAATAACTGCTTGGTTAACATATACTTATTGGAAAAAATGTGAAGAATACAGAGTGCAGAAAGGTAAAGAAAAGTCAAATTCCCCTTTTGTGTGTGGCCTTCCAGCCTTTTTTTCTGGCCTTGTAAGTGTATGTAAGGACACCCGGTGCCCAGCCTCTCTCCTCTTACCCCACAAGCTGGTGGGTGCCCTCACGGACACCTTTCTGCAGTGGTGATGGTTTATCAGCCCCATCTTGTGCTCTTGGGCATCGGGCTGTTTCCTGTCCCCTGCTGTCGTGGACAGTGTCTCCAGGATCACGATGTGCTGTGTGTACTTTTTACTTAGTTTTCTGGTTGTTTCTTGGAGTAAATCGCTGAAGTGCAAGTGCTGCGTTAAATGGTGTGCAGGGTAGTTCATATTTGGATGGAATTCCACAGAATCTCTCCCAGAAAAGTAGTATTTATCTACATTCACACCAAGAGTATGTAAAGGTCCTGTTTCCACAACTTCAGCATTAGCTATTATCCAGCTTTTTAACTGTTGCCAAGCTAAGTTAAACAATGCATTATTTTTTTTTTTTTTTGAGGAAGATTAACCCTGAGCTAACATCTGCTGCCAATCTTTCTCTTTTTGCTGAGGAAGACTGGCCCTGAGCTCACATCCAGGCCCATCCTCCTCCACTTTATATGTGGGACGCCTACCACAGCATGGCTTGCCAAGTGGTGCCATGTCTGCAGCCAGGATCCAAACCAGCAAACCCTGGGCCACCAAAGTGGAACGTGCGCACCTAACCGCTGTGCCACCAGGCCAGCCCAAACAATGAATTTTGAATTTTCATATATTTCATCGCTAGTGAGTCTTTTCTCATGTTTGACGTTCGTATTTGCTTTATAAATTGCTTCGCTTTGTCCTTGACTGCTTGACTTTCACCCATTTTTTCCTATTGGAGGTTGGTGCTTTCTTTTTGGTTATTTTTCAAACCTTTAAAAATAGCCTTTGTCATTTGTCACATATTTTGCCGTGCATTCTTTTAACTTTTTTCATTTAGACACTTTGTTTTATGTAGTCAACTCTATCAATTTTTACTTGTACAAGTCATGATTCTCACATCATGTTTAGAAAGCCCTTTCCCACACAATAATTATAAAAGGGTTTCCTGTCTTTTTTTCTAGTACTTCTATGGTTTTCCTTTTCCTTTAAACATTGATATTTAATCTCTTTGAAAATTATTTTTCTGTAAGATGAGAAGTGAGATCCAACCTCCCCCCCCGCCGCCCTGCGGGCTGGCCAGGTGTCCTAATGTAGTTCTGTCATCCGTCCTTTCACTAGTGATCTGAGATGCTGCCCGGGAGCAACCTTCCGTGCGTTTTCACTTTCTTCTGCATTTTGCGTGTTCTGTTTTTGTGCCGGCACCACTTTATCTCTGAAACTGTGGTCTTTGATTATTAGTGAGACGTGTTCAGCCCTCCTGCTTGTCACACCTTTCTGGACTGTCCGCGCACGTTACTGCACGGGGTGAGCTTCCAAATGACTTGAAGTCGGTGAAAATACTGATGTGTTCTCGTGACTGGACTCAATCTGCGGATGGATCCAAGGAGGGCGGATGGAGCGTCTTGGTCCCTCCAGGAACATGCTGTGCTCGTTTTACACAGGACTTCCTCAGAGCTCCCCTTGTTAATGATCGGTTCACACCAGCGCTGCGAGCGTGTGTAAGACAGTGAGGAAGTGAAACGCCGCGTTACTTGCTCCCTTGCCTGTGGGCCTCCGGCTCACTCTTGCATAACCCTGGGGCCTGCAGAGCCTAAATCCCCCCACTTCAGCAAGTGCGTCCCACAGGGGCACGGAGCCCGCCCGCTGCCGGGCTTCAGCTGCCGAGACAAACTGTTGCTCGGTCCAGAGGAGCCTGCAGGGGAGCAGGGCCCAGTGCGGCCGGGGAGGCGGTTGTCTGAGGTCCCCTGGTCCAGCGTCGCCTGTGCTGCCAGTGTGTCACCCTCTGAGAACCAAGCGCATTGTGATGTGACTTTAGACAGCCAGAGACCCACCCAGCCTCTGGTCCTACAGACGGGGAGACAGTCTCAGCATCGGCTGCTCGCATTTGGCTCGAATCGCACGTCACTTCCCGTCAGACTGATGAGCGCATGCTCTCCAGGCCCGAGTTTCTCCTCCCGCTGTGTCTCTGCCCCTTTCCTTGGGGAGCTGTCTTGTTTTGGCTCTGCGCCTCCTTGGCTCTTACTCCGTGTGTTTACCCCACTTCAGCAGTTGTGGGGTCCATGGGGAGCCTGGCTGCCATCTCCCTTCAGCTGGCACCAATCACAGGCTTGTGGTGTTTTATTTGCACCTGGATGGGGCACACGAAGTGCTTGGGAAAAGCCACCGGTGGTTGAAGGTGGCGGGTGCTGAGAGAGCACTTGCTTGAAGGCCGTCCGCCGAGTGTGGCCATGCCTCCTGCAGGAGCCTGAGGGCCACACAGCGGCCTCAGCTCCCACTCCTGGGAGAGCCGTGGTCCACACCCGGACCCGGCACTCCGGTCCGTGCTCCGTTAATCTGCCCTGTGCTCTCGCTTCTGCTCCTCTTCACATTCGTTTTCTCCTCCGGGCTTGGTGGGAGCTAGTACAACAGGAGTTTGCAGTATGTAGAACTGTGTCGCAGTAGAGAGTTAAAGCTACAATGTTTCTTCTGGGTGTTATTTACAGATAACTTAATTATCATTAGGACTAGACCGGGCGTAGGCTTCTCTGATCTAAGAGTATTTCAGACACATCAGTTCCTTGGCTTTCTGTCCATTTTCCTGTCCATTTCTAAGGCAGTCCCTAAGTCATTGATTCCATCGATTCTCATTTTTCCTTGTCAGAGCTGTGTGGACACACTCTTGTGATGTCAGGAGGTTCTTTCTCTTTTAAATGTAGTCACTCTCAGAGGTCGGTTTGCTGGGTCCCCTTCAGGTTGGGCAGGGGTGGCTGCATAGAGCCCATCCTTTCCTGAGATCACAGTCGCTCTGCTGCCTGACGTGCCAGCCGCCCCCCCTCGCCTTCCTGACCTCCGGCTGTCCTGTGTTCCTGTGCCCCTCTCCCGAACCACTGAGTTTCCTCCTGCACATGCAAGACAGTGTCCCCATCCTGCGAAGGGGAGGCCCTGGCATGGAACTGCAGAGGATGGTTCTGCAGCTTGGGTTTGGGAGAGGAGAGAGGTTGGTTGTGGACACTCACTGGTCTGAGGGGTGCTGGGCTGTGTCCCGTGCCCACTGTCTGGGTGCTGACGAGGTCTCGCCGTGAGGTCCCACCTTCGTGTCCAGGGCCTGATGCATTCCATCTTCAAGTTCCCTGTTCACTTTTAGCCACAACTGTTGGAAACTAGCTTTAGTGTAAATTTGGAATCATTTTAAGGCAAATTCATTCTGGCTTGTCTCCAAGGACTACTGGGGTCAAAGTATCAAAAACAGCTCACCGTAAACTCAGGTCCTCCGAGAGACCGTCCTCCTGGATGGGGGCTTGGTCTAACAAGGCTGCCTGTGTCTTCAGGTTTTACCAAACAAGCACTGCTTATTTACTCAGTATGTGCGAATTCAAGGTAAAAAAAAATTAAAAAGGATTGAATCTGCTCTAGGGAGCAAAAAATCAAGAAGAGCAGACGGACAGGTGAGCAAGCAGCAAGGCTCGCGCCTCCTGTTGACGGGGCTCCAGAGAGGACCGGCCCCTTCCCGAATTAGGCCAGGGAGAGGAGAGCTTGGCCAGAGGCTTCTGTTGCTTTCCGGCGAGTGAGAGATGTCCGGTGAGCGAGGCGGCCGGTCCCTCTGGCGTGTGGAGTGAGCTGTGATGGCTGTGTGCTGACCCGTGTTTGCTCTGTCCTGCAGGCCGGCTGGTCCGACTCCCTGGTCTGGAAGCTGAACCAGTGGCTCATGATCCACATGTTCCACTGCCGCATGGTCCTCACCTACCACATGTGGTGGGTGTGCTTCTGGCACTGGGACGGCCTGGTCCGCAGCCTCTACCTGCCGCACCTGGCCCTCTTCCTCGTCGGGCTGAGCCTCCTCACGCTGGTGCTCAACCCCTACTGGACCCACAAGAAGACGCAGCAGCTTCTCAATCCGGTGGACTGGAACTTTGCACAGCCCGAACCCAAGGGCAGGGCCAACGGCCAGGTGCCGCAGAAGAAGGAGCGGTAGCCACGCAGGAGCAGCCGGGGCGCTGAAGGGCCAGCACTGCTTCCCCACGCGACTAACTCGTGTTTCTGTGCTGTTGATTCCGCCGCGGCCGCGGAGTGTCTGTGAGACCTGGATTCGCCTTTAGGAGCAGAGTTTTACATCTCTAATTTCGTTCCTGTTAGGAGCTTATCCTGCAGGGCCGTGTTGATCATCTGGGAAGGGTCCGTGGTGCGGAGGGACGGCCGTTTGAGCACGTGAGGTGGCTGCACACAGAGGTCCCTGTGGTGGGGGGTCAGGTCACATCCACTCTTTCTGGTCACATGTTCCACGTTTTGTGTGTCTTACTCCAGAGTCGTGTTCTTAGTTGGGGAGGGTGGCCCTAAGAAAATGATGCGGGTTCTCGCCCTCGTCCAGCTCCCCCGGCACTGTGAGCAGCAGTGCCCTCTAGTGGCAAAGCGGCATGCAGAGCGAGGCCTGGGAGCGCACCCACCTGCTGGGAGCGTGGTGAGATGAAGTCCTGTGAGGTTTTCTTTTTCATCAAGGAAGCGACATTAAAACAAGAATTTTGTATTCATATTGTGTTGCGCAATTGGCAAATGGAGGTAGCTGTTGAGTAATTAGATTCGTCCAGGTTTGAGGGCCATTTTCAATTGACTGGGTTGCCGAGGTGTTCCTCAGTTGGTGTTTCTCCGTAGATTTCAAGACAAGGTGGCGGGCGCTTTCCCTGTGAGCTGTGAGGTCGCCTGCCCACCTGCCCGCAGCGACACTTGGCTGCAGGGACGTCCCAGAGCGTGGGAGGCAGCCCTGGGGCCGGCGGCAGAGCCTTCTTGCGCTGCTGCCTGGGGGTGCGTCCGTCCCTCGGTGCTCTGCGCTCACAGGGCCCGGGTCGAGTTCCTGCACCAGCCCAGCAGTTCTGTGGGAACACGTACAAGTGTTCTTGCCGTGAGTGTGCAATTAAACTGAAAAGCGGATTGTTATCAGAAGCACCGTGAAAGTGTTGGTGAAAAACACATTGTGTTTGTTGTAAAAATCATGTGTGACTTGTGCTTGTTATGTAACACGGAACTCTCAGAATACTGTATTTGGATTACTGGTACATTGTATTGATTATGTTTGTCATATGTATTACCTATTTATCTCATTTTAAGAAATGATCTAAATCTTAAAAGTATCCAGCAAATTGTGTCCCTGCTAGACCACTAAGACCCCGTGGCTCCCGCTGGCCTGTGCTCGTGCCCTTTCTTGTGGAGGCAGAGGGAGCATTTCCCAGCTGGGCGGAAGCTTAATAAAGTGACTGATGTTTACAGGATGCAGGGGATGTCGCTGCTTGTTTCGCAGACTGTTCACACGGCTGTGGATGTTTTCTGTCTTGGAGACACCAAACGTCATCATACAGCCTCACGTGTTCAAAATTCAGTTTAGGGTTTGAAATACTTAGCTTAATTTTTATCTGACCTTCACTGGGCCTTTGAGCTGCCCAGGGCTCCCCATTTACAGCCTGTATCTCAACGAAGATGCAGTTTGAAGCTGCGCCATAGACTGCCTGAGCTGGCCTCCACCGCGCGTGGGTGCTCACTCTGACCGGGGGCTTCTCGAGGGGAGCGCGGAGGCAGAGGCGTCTGAGTGGAAGAGGCTTTTTGAACCCTATGGTCCAGGACCCACACGCTTTTATCGCCCAGGGACTGGTGATGTCTTCCAGATCGTACAGCGTTTCCCGGGCCCTCCACCAGGCCTGGCACACCCCGCGCCAGCCGTGTGCATGGATGGGGGCTACAGATGAGAGGAGGGTGACACCAGCACGTTGAGGTGACGCTCGAGCCACAGCTGGCACGTGCAGAGTTGGGGCGTGAGCCCACCGTCCGGCCCCTAGGCGCCTGCACTGCGACCTGCCAGCTGACACGAGTTCTGTGTGACTCACAAGTTGTCTGTTGAGAGAGCAGATGCTGAACTGTGAGGGTTCACGTTTCAATCAGAAATTCCAGAAGCTCTTGAAAACTGGGAGGATCTGGCGATGTCAGTCATGAATCTCCTGATTACAGGTGTCCAAGGTGGAAGCCAGCTCTGCCCTTGCTGGCCGTGTGCTCTCCAGCTTGACCTTGACATGGAGGTTAGAGGTCGTCAGTGTCACTTGGTGCTGCGCTGTCTGTGGTGGTAGAGAATATTTCTCTGTACTCGTGATTTTCTTCTGTTTCAGAACAGGAAAACAGATCAGGCCGAGGAGGTGGAGCGAGTCAGGGAGGGCAGAGTGCACTCTGGAGGGGAGGACCCTCCCACCGCTTGTCCTCAAGCCTTGGAGGCAGTGGGTGGAGCCCCCTTCCCTTCTCAGGTCCCCAGTCTCCTCACAGTCCTCCTGGACTCGAGGCACATACTAAATAGCTTACGGTTTCCCATTTTCTTCCCACAAACAACCTGTGGGGTAGGCATGTTGATTGCATTCATATATAGGGCTCTGAGGCTCAGAGAGCTGGTGATGGGCTAGGAGGTGACACGGCTGGTAGGTGGCTACGCTTGCATTTGGGCTTGTTCCTCTGGTTTCAGAGTGGAGGCTCGTAGACATGTTTGGCACAGAATGCAGTAGAGCCCCTGACTGACCCTTGCTGGCTGACGGGGCCGCGTCCTGTGCCTGTGCATCCTGGGCTCCGGAGAGTGGGGGCTCGGGTCTGTCCTCACCCCCACTCGCCCAGGGGGCCCGTGTGCATCCATCCCCCCACTCGCCCAGGGGGCCTGTGTCCATCTGTCCCCCAACTCACTTAGGGGGCCCATGTCTATCTGTCCCCTGCCTCACCCAGGGGGCTCGTGTCTGTCCTTCCCCCAACTCGCTCAGGGGGCCCGTGTCCTTCTGTCCCCTGACTCACCTGTCTGTCCATCTCCAACTCACCCAGGAGGCCCGTGTCCATCCGTCCCGTGACTCGCCCAGGGGGTCCGTGACCGTCCATCCCCGACTTGCCCAGGGGACCCGTGTCCGTCTGTCCCCCAGCTCACCTGGGGGGCCTGGATCTGTCCATCACCGACTTGCTCAGGGGTCTCATGTCCGTCCATCCCCCGACTCACTCAGGGGACCATGTCCATCCATCCCCTGACTCACCTCTGTCTGTCCATCCATCCCCCCAACTTGCCCAGGGGGCTCAAGTCTGTCCATCCACCAACTCAACCAGCTCCCAGGGTCCTGGCTCGGGACAGCCACTGAGCACCACCTGATGAGTGAGTGAGTGGATGAATGGACCAATGAATGCCCAGACTGTGTCCATGGAGTGGACGCTGTCGGAGAACAGGTGGCAAACTCACGGCGTTCTTGAAGAATGTGTATGGCACCGTGTTCAGCAAGAGAAGGGCAGGGTCCAGAAGTGGGAAGCAGCCCCAGCCTCGCTCAGGGGCATCTGGCAAGGCTGTGGCCATGGCTGTAGGGGGTGTTCTCCGTGGAGAACTGGAGTCACTGTGAACTGGCCGGGGTGAAAGTCTCCTGCCTCGGGAAGCTGGCGAAAGGCAGGCGTGGCGTCTGTGAGGGTCAGCGACCTTTCCTTTGTCCCTCAGGTGTCGGCCTCGGTGTGTGTGTCGGGTTCTTTGCTGGTGTGCTGAGACTTCCCTTAGATGCAGCCGAGTGTTTTACGAAGCAGCAGTTTTCCTGCTCCTCTCGTGTGAGCCTTCTCAGACAGACTGGGCAAGAGGCAGGAGCACATCTCGTTCCGCCTCCCATGCCTCCAGCCTTGCTGCTCCTTCGCCAGGTGTGCCAGGTGTGCCAGGTGTGCCCTTGGGGTGTTCCCCTCCTCGGTCGGCACGCAGCAGCATGGGTGGTGGTTGTCGCCTCCTGCTCAGACGACGGTGCACAGGTAGATAGCACCAGTAGAGACACGTCCAGATGCACGCTACCTCCCCCCAACCCCCACGTGGCTCCAGCAATGAGGATGTGGAACGCCCTTGGAGCTGGAGGTGCAGAGGTGGGGCCCAGCCCCCGAGCGGGGGGTCTGCCCCCCTTGGGAGGTCAGCTCCAACAGTCGCCCTGGGCTCCCCTGCAGGGTCCTCCATCCTCTGGGTCCCCAAACCAGACTGTCAGCTTCAGCCTCACACCCTCTGTCCCTGGAGGATGGGTTCACTCGAGCTTGTGTGAGGGACACGGGCTCTGGGAAGGAGGAGGAGGAGCTGGGACCGGGAGCCAGTGCCCCACACCACTCAGACTCGTCTCTAGTCTAAGAGTGGAGATTTCAACTCTCCTAAAAGGAAATAAACGTAAGCGATGCCCGGGCGTCCGTGAGTGCATCCGGATGCTGTCAGTGCACCTCCGTCAGTGCTGGAGTTCCTTCTCTCTTCTCTAATGAGAGAACTTCTTCATTCGATATTTCTCTCTTTAAATGTCTCCCCTTTTTTCAGTAACTAAAACATACTGTGGTACATATCGTCTTGCCTAGTCGTGTGTAGGATACAGTCGTGTGAAAAACTCAGAAATCTCCACTTTCTTTCTTCCAGTGACTCGGAATTCAGAGTGTTCTTGAACGGGCTCCAGCATATGCGGGGCCTGGTTCTCTTCCCCCAGCGAGGCCTGAGCGCCTGCCCTGGAGGAAAAAGAAACCACACCCTTCCTTCCCAGGCCTCTGCCAAGAGCCGCAGCGCACAGGCGCCTGGCCTCCTGGGGACACAGTGCTGCGCACAGCACCGGGGGCACAGCGCTCCGCCACTTTCTACCCACCACGTGAATTCATTCCTTTCTCGCTGCGGGTGTTTTCCTTTCACGGTCGTGTCATTGGACATCTGCAGTCTCAGGGTTATACTCCGTTCCACGGGAAGCCTTGGTGTCTGGACTGCATGTCTGTGTCCCCCCAGATGCACAAGTTGAATCTAACCCTCTGTGTGCTGGTGTTAGGAGGTGGGGCCACTGGGAGGTGAGCGGGTCATGAGGGTGGAGGCCCCGTGATGGGAGTAGCGTCCTAAAGAAGAGACAGGAGGGCTTCCTGCCTCTCTCCGTCCCTCGTCCCTCTGTCTCTCCTTGTCTCCCTCCCTCCATCCCGCCCTCTCCTGAGTTGAGGCTACAAGGAGAAGACGGCTGTGGACAAACCAGAAAGTGGCCTCACCAGACAGCAGCATCTGCCGGGACCTTGATCTTGGACGCCAGCCGCCCGGTTACAGTAACTTGTTAACGCAGGCAGAGCTGGGACATCTGGGTTTCCCATTACTTCAGTGTTTTATACCTTCAGCCCCAAACCAGTCCACCGACTGCAAAAATTAACCCAGAGCTAAAATCCTCAGCTATTAAGTTATTAAATGTCAAGTCTTTCAATCTGAAAATTCCGTGTTGAAATTTTACGTAGAAAACTTTTACTTTCTAACTTTTACTTTGTAACTTGCACAGTGCTTACCTTGTGATTGAGTTTCAAAAATGTAGACTACAAAACTACAATTGGAAGACGGCACATTTCGGCCACAATTTCTTTTGTTTTCGCTGAGATAACCCTTGGTTCTTTCCCAAGGAATTTCCAAGCCTATTTGGTCCACCCCAGAGATTTTATTTCTGCACAAAGACACACACAGCACAGAACGTTGGAGCTGTAGAAACTTTCTGTGCAGATAGCTGATGTTGAGAAAGTTCAAGGTCAGCCATGCCAATACGCCCATTTTGCATCTTTTGGTAAATGCATGATGATCTCAAATATAAAACATTTAGTCACTTAAGAAAATAAAGCTTGGAAAAATATCTAACTCAGTAAACATGATTTTCTACATTGTAATTTGGAGCCAGTTACCGTGACCTTAATCAGGTCATCCTTTGCCAGCTCGGCTCTCTGTCTCCCTAGTACCTCATCCCTCAGGGTGCCCACATATCATGACACTGGCTGATGACCCCGGGAGGGTCCCTGCGTGGGCACAGCCCCTTTGGGGGAGAACACAGGCCCCGGAGGGTCCCTGGGTGGGCACAGTCCCTTTGCAGGAGAGGACAGGCCCCGGAGGGTCCCTGGGTGGGCACAGTCCCTTTGCAGGAGAACACAGGCCCCGGAGGGTCCCTGGGTGGGCACAGTCCCTTTGCAGGAGGGGACAGGCCCCGGAGGGTCCCTGGGTGGGCACAGTCCCTTTGCAGGAGAGCACAGGCCCCGGAGGGTCCCTGGGTGGGCACAGTCCCTTTGCAGGAGGGGACAGGCCCCGGAGGGTCCCTGGGTGGGCACAGTCCCTTTGCAGGAGAGCACAGGCCCCGAGGGTCCCTGGGTGGGCACAGTCCCTTTGCAGGAGGGGACAGGCCCCGAGGGTCCCTGGGTGGGCACAGTCCCTTTGGGGGAGAGCACAGGCCCCGGAGGGTCCCTGGGTGGGCACAGTCCCTTTGCGGGA